CACTGTGGCACGCGTCAAGTGTACGAAGCTCATGCGGCAACAGGACATTCCGTCGATGGAGGCACCGATCGAGGCACCGTCCACGCAGGAGGCACTGGACGGTGGCGTGCTGACGCCTCTGTCCATGACCTCGCCGGAGTAAATGGCCGTTGGAGTTGCGCGGGGGTGGGTGTGATGCGCTGTGCGTTAGTGTCAGATAGTTTCAATCCTTTTCCGGACCTGTTTTCCATTTCGTGACTGTGCCGTGTAGCATCGCCAGCTGAAGGATGACCCAACAAGCTTGCGTCCCTTCCTGCCTGTTCGTGCCTGGTTCTTGCTTCGTGCTTGGTTCGGTTCGTGCCTGGCCCCTCCGATTCCCGAGGACATGGCACGCTAAATGACGCCAGGACAATGGAGCGCCTTAGCTGCAGATGAGGTGCAGACCAGGTGGGGGGCGGCCTTGACCTGGTATTGGCGAGTTGGTCAGTCCTCGATTGCAGCATCGCATGAACCCTCCACCCCTGATCGTCGCTTACCAGCAACCAGCACCCAATCGCCCACGACCCGGACGAGCGCCGGTCGAGCACGCAACCACGCCACGACGACGTGCCTGGTGGGCCGATCCCATAGCCGCCCGCGCATGGACGGCGACCTTTCATCGCCGGAGCGGGGTGTGCTGGCCTGCGTGCGGCGTGCGGCGGGTGTTGGCCATGGCTATAAAGCAGGCGGCATCAACCGGGCGGCGTCAATGGCTGGCTTGGGCATCTTGGCCTTCTCGTTCTCGCAGCCTCTCATCTTATCCTGCCATGGACGATCCGCGCGTCCGAGACCTGTTCACAGGCATGCCCCTGTCCCTACGCCGGTGGGACGAGCCGCACCCGATGTATAGGCCGGACTACCGCTATCTGTACGAAAACCTGCACGGCGCCATCACGTACTGGCAGCAAGAATATGAAGAGTTGCGGGCAGCGTCCACGGCGTACATCGACGGCCTCCAGGAGGAGATCCGCCGCTTGGCTTCCGAGCTAGCTGCCGCGAAGCAGCGCGACCAGGAGGTTCGTCCGTCCGTCGTCTCGTATGCGTGTGACCACATGCTGACCAGGCCAGGCTCGTGAGCCAGCAGCGCCTACGACACCGAAAGCGATGTGTGCTTTTCCGTAGGATACGTGAGGGCTGTGTCTGACTAGGGCTGTGTCTGACTTGGTAGATTGATAATGCACTTGTAAATGCATTTGCACCGCCCACCCACCTGTGACTCGCGTGGCCAATTTTCGATTTTGCTGTCAAGCCAACGGCTGCTAGTAATGGGCCACCACCGTTGCTGGCAGCCCGACGGCAGGCATTGGTTCGGGTGACCGGGCGCTCCTCGACGGCTCGGGCGCTTACCAAGAGCTGCTGGTAGCCCGGAAGCTGGCGCTGGTAACAGGGCGCCTGCCGTCGAGCGCCTGCCGGCAGCCCCGACCAAGCCGCTTGCGAGCTGCTGTCGGAACCCGGACGCTACACTCAACGCTGCTGGTCATCAGCGATGGCCGCTCCTAGTAGCCGGACACCCCAGGTCCTCGCCCCCCGGGATTGTCACTTTATTCCCCTCCATTTTTCTCATCATCTACCTGCGGCGAACACCATGTGTTTCTACAATCAAGACGTCTGGACGTGTCGCCACTGGCAGTGGCGGCAGCGTCTCCACCCCTGCGCACAGGCACAACACCAACGCCGACCTTGCCGTCTCAAATTGATTCTGACCGCACGATTCCACCAGGCGCCGTGTCCAGTATGCCACGCCGTCCACGAAAACGAGCGTGTGCTTCGCGCGACAGAATCGTACATCCATCGACGCTCTCGTCGACCCTCAACCCTTGCCCGAGCCCGCTGGCAAGCAGACCAACTTCGCTCCATAATCGATCAGCTCGAACGACGCTTCTCAGGTGAAAACCTCATCGTGCCGACTGCTATGCCGGCTGCCATGCCGACTGCCGACAGGCCGAGTCTGGCTGCCGCAGGTCTTCGAACGGCTGTTCAGCGCCAGGCACCACGCCCCTCGGGCGGTCTTCCCTGGATTCAGCATGGCACCTTTAGTTGCCGTAGTGGCCGGTCTCCTTCTCTTGGTCGGCGCTCGATCGACCGGCACAACCCTTGTGGTCAGGGTCGGGGCGACTTGGGTACCGTGAGAGATGGCAGCTTCATATATCGTACTTCCCTGGCCCGCTTCATCTGCATCCGATGCGGGAAAGAATTCAATCGACGGTGTGTTGGGGAGAAGCATGTGGCCAAATATCACGGCACCACCTCACCCAGAGAGACTATACGGGAGACGGATGGAGTGATTCTGGTGTCCACAGTGGGGTAGGTGCTCGCCCCAACTGTCGTCGGCGCCCCGTCGTTGGAGGGTTTCAGACACTGCACCAAACCAGAGAGTACAATCAGCAATGGAATACACATCTCATGAGCCTCTTGGCACGATCTTGAGATCAAAATACTTGGCCACCTTGCTTTCCACCACTCTCCGTGTCCATAGTCCCTTGGTTCCTTTTTTGCGGATCAGATGTACAATCCATTGAGGTGCCTCGGCCAGAAACCGATGTTGGGCATGGGTGCGCTGCCCTGGGGGGACCTTGCTGCAATGGCCATGGATTAGTTGAAAGAAATCCAGTATACGTGGTTGTTTCGCCAGCGCTCGGTTCACGCCTTGCATGGTGTTTGTAGTACGTGTGCCGTCCAAGATCCACTTTGTCATTGTCGTCGTCAAGGTCGCTTGGTGAGCTAGAAGAGACGCAGTGGCTTTAAGGTAAACCGTCGAAGGGTCCGTTGTACGTGACAGAGCCCAGGCCAAGGCAGTGTGACCTTCTTCATCAGGCGTATCAATGAAGACGCCCGGCAGGGCCAGGAGAAAGTCGACGGCCGTGGGATGGGTCCGAACCAGATGCGTCAAGAGAGGAGCCCCAGAAGGATGAACAACAGCGTTTGGGTTCGCTCTACATTTCAAGAGCCTGTTGACCAGAGCCTTCTTGGCATGCGAGGTTCGGCCTTGAATTTTCAAGCAGGCCATTGGTATTGTGATCACAAAAGCTTGGTCTGGCTCGAAGCGCGCGCCAGATACCTCGAGGGCGTCGAGGATGCGAAGAGCGGCGGTGAACCGGCCGGTATGACAGGCGTATTCCAGTATAGACATTCTTTTGCTGTCATGAAATACCTTCTGCTTGGGGTTCGCAACACAGCGGATCAGCTCGGATATCATCTCGTCATCGGCAAACGGCGAGCGTGTCGCGTAAGACAACGGAGTGTACCCGCAGCTGTCTCTAAAGTCGACATCGATGCCATGCTGGTCAATCAAATAGGCGGTCACCTTCTGCAGGCCCATGGCCGCGGAAGCATGGAGAGGGCTGATGTCGGCCAGACGCGGCAAAGCGCCATGAGTGCCGGAAACGAGGCCGAGAATGCGAGATGTCATCATATGGCACGGATGGAAGCCGTGCTGTAACAGATGTAGAACCACGGTATCTCGACCTTCCTCGACGAGAAACTCAAAACAAGAGATCGCAACAGATCCAGAATACATGTCTCTCAATCGAGATTGCGCCGAGAGAAAGAGATCCCGGTAGACCCTTCGTGGCAGTCGTAGATGTTCAAACTCCTTGAGGGAAACACTTTGTTACATTCGTAAATCCGCGCCTGCCCTGATGGCCTTGTTCAGGACCGAAATGGCGACATGGTCTTCTTGGCAACGCGCTGCCCAGATGGTGGACGAGGCACTCGAGCATTGAACGTTGTATGCATACAATAAGGGGGTGTAGGTTTGTAACAGTTGCTTGCAGCTTCGTAGGAGCGCCGATATGGAATTTTGGCTACAGCGGCTGATGATTCCGTTGAGGAGCTCGGGAGGGAGGCGACACAAAGAACCATGCTGGATGACCGTGCAGTCAGAAGTGAGATCGCGGGAGCCACTGGGTGCCATGCTGGTCGTAGTGGATGCCATGTGCGCTTTACTCGACGTGGATGGTATGATCAGCGTTATGCCGATGGGCTAAGACAAGGTGGGCTAAAAGGGTGGGCTAAGAAAAGCTCTAGAGGGAAGAATAGGTAGGTGAACCGTCCTGACGACAGGAATGTACTGAGAAGGGCGATCAAGTCCTCTTCATATACACACATGCGCCACTCAGCCTCCGGACCGGCCGGCGGCAGCCACGGCTGGCAACCCCACCTGATGGCACAGCAGGAAGATATGGCCAGGCCTAGATGCGTCACGACTTGAAATGAGAGACGGACAACGTCCAACGCGAGCCGTGGGATGGTAGCGGCATTGATTGGCTGAGGGCAGAGGGACATGGGAGGTAACAGGGTGGGAAGTGGAAGGGTGGCAAGCGGACAGGCCAAAAAAAGGGGGATGTATGGAGACAATTAAGCCGCTTCTGATTCCGCCCAGACTGACAGGCCACAAGCAATAGACCACAAACTTGATCACGCCCTCTTGCCTGTCGCGCGGGATCGATATGGCCTGTCCGGGTCGGCCTCGCCACTTCTGTCTTGACCTGTGATAGCGCCGAACGTCTGCTGCCTTCCCCTGCTTTCCGACGATGCCCCTTGCCGGGATACGTCACAACATGGCCACATCACACCAACCCTCAAATCATCATTCAGGTCGCGGCCTGGCCACTCCGCACGAGTGCCTTGGGAGATGTCGTGCTTGAGTCTCGTGCTCCATGCCAGACGATCCCTCACGCAGGTGGGCAACACACTATGGCCCCTATGGCCTAGACTGCATGCCGTCTACACCTTCCCTGTTTTTCCACATTCATTCGCATGCTTTGAGTGTGTTGAGGGACTGTACGGCAAGTGGCAAGCAAATAGTATAAATCTGGAAACGCTCCGTCGGGTTGCCGTCTTCATCCTGCCCGCCATCTCTGCTCAACTATACGCCTATACAAGAGCCTCACATCACCTTTGTTCCCCTTTCATCTTGCCTTCGCTTGATGGTGGCTTAGGCCTGTCCATATCCATATCCATTTCTCAAGTCCTTCTACAACATGACTACTCTATCGCCGCCTCTACACCCTGCGTCCCTGGATGTGGGCACGGCCACCGCTCCGCTGGAAGAATACACAGCCGAGGCAGTACGACGTGCCGCGGAAGCCTTGATTCAGATCCGTGCTGGAGACTCTGGAGATGCTGGAGACTCTGGGAACGCCGTCGAACCTTCTCAACAATGCCTTTCGCCAAGCATCATCCAGGATAACGTGACGCAAGTCTCAGAGGCATGGTATGACGGAGATTCGACACTGTCCGCGGCCCAGGACCTGCATGATGCATTATGGGCCAGTTTCTCTGCGTCTGGCACTCCTTTTGGCCTGACAGACTCCATACCATGCGGGGCTTGTAGCGATGCGGCATCTGCTGTCTGTGACATTTGCCCGCGCAACGACGGATGTGACGATACAGTGTCACAGCAGCTCAGCTGGGACATCTTGGACACTACTCAGATAGATTCTATGACACAAAGCATAGACTTCACCAGCTTCACCCCGCCTGATGTCTGCCTTGCCGAATGGACTCTGGATCTGGACAGGGAGCCCTTGGACGCAGCGTCCCTAGAGGATGCGTTTGCCCAGCTTGAGACAAGACGGCGCGCTGAGCAGGCCTTGAGCTCGTCTGCCACGCCAACATCACCAGTCAGCAAGCCGGCCACGTCAGCCGAGCGTGGTCCGCTTTGTAACGGCTGTGCCTCTTCCCTTTCCAACGACAGCTGCGCATCGTTGTCGCTGCCGTCACCGCTGCCGCCGCCGCCATCGCCACCAGCGACTCGAGCAAGACGACCACTACCGAGTCATGGAAGGCCCCGTGAAGCGCGACAGGACTACTTGTCCGCAGCGGCGAGTCAGCGCGTAGGACGCAAAAGGGGAGGGAAGCCGCAATCAAAGACGAGGCGAAGAACACGACAACGCGCATCAAACCAACAACGCACGCCACAGCAGCGTGGAGCCGGTAAGGAGTTTTTTCTGGCATCAGCAGTCGCCTTCCAAACGGACAACCACGAGCTAGTGTTCACACCTCAGCGAAGAAGCCGGGTCTGGGTGTCCGAAGCTGGCCCGGCAAGGATCGAGCTTGAACCCGAAAGTCTCCCGGAGACACCGCGCTGGATTGACGTCCACCCCGGGGGCGTCGCTAGCTATGCTGTCCGGCTGTCTTGGCACGCAGATCTAGAGCTTCTCTGCGGCCTGGACGAGATTCGCGGAATGACGCTGGCGATCAGTCGTGAAATGGCACAAGACCTGCTGTTAGCTATTGGGGAAAGCCATCAGTTTGATTCTGAGGCTCTCAAGCTGCTGAGTAAAGGCCTCACGTAATAACGGGTCATACGGACCTAGTTGGGCCTGCACATTTCTACAAGGGCTTGTTGACGGCTGCACATTGGCTTGGTCTAATTTGGTATTCTGGGCGAAGGTCACAAGAAGTGAACGTAACTTGGTGAAGCTTTCCCCAGGGCGGAGACGTGAAGCTATGCATCAACGACCACCGCAGGATTCTTTATATCTCCTAGAGCATTTCTTTCAATTTTACGTATGAGATATGCTAGAAATACATATTGTTGTTCACATCGTGCGGAATGTCTGGTGTAGTCCTCCTGTCTTTACGTTGGTGCGAGAACAGCGGAACTGATATCAACATCCATCAGACGAGCACTTTCTCCTTCACAGGGCTAATTTCATCTGCTGAGCGAAAGGCAACAACATGCAGCACCCATGGGGTGTGCCGGGGGTTTCTTCATATGCTCGCTTCTCTGCAGCTGGCTGGCATACATGCCAATGCGAACCGACGGGAACGGCCACATGATGGCAAGACAACGACAGAGAACAAAGATGGTCACGGTAGCCAATTGCATTAGGAAAATATGATAAAAGAGGCTTCTCACGCTACGACTAGTGACTCTCTCTCCTGACTATGTCGACTCCTCGCTCTCCACATCGTTCGGGCTGTCTTCACTGGCGGTGCCATTTATGCCCCTACTATACCTGTATCTCGGGAACGTAAACCTGCTTTCTTCAGCCCGTTCGTGCTGCTCTAGACACTTGGTCAACCATTGATGGCTGACGATCCAGAGAGGTTCCCGATCAGGTCGTTGAACATGCGTGACGACATGCTCGACGAGAGAGTCGAACCGATCGAGTTCCTTCTCTGTGACGCAGAAGTGCGTCAAGACATCTGGCCGTACATCAGCCCTGTGAGTACCACCTAGCCTGACAATGGCGTTGCGCACACTGTCGTAGCTCTCACCCCCTTTGGGCAAAGGGAAGCTGCTCGTGAAAGCGATCACGCAGCCCCTGAGTGGAGCACATTTTGGATCCTGCCGCGCATGCATAAGATGACGTGACACGGGCAGAAACTTGCCTCGTTTGTACGAATCGTGAAGCCATTCAAAAGGAACGATAGCCGCCTTCAGCTGCGTGGCTCGGAAGGCATCCTTGTGCAAATATCGAATTCTGTGGTACGTAGAACATAAAACATCTGTCGTTTCGTAGACCCGCTCATGGTAGCTACCGCCGAGCTTGTAAATCCAGGTCTTGACCTCTTGCAAAGAGATCCCGTCAGGCAATGGGCAGCTCACGGCGATGTTCGGTGTCGGAAACATTTTCGGTTGGTGCGGGGATGTTGGTAGGCCATGGTCTGACTGTCGGGCAGTCTTTGGCGCGCATTCGCGACACGCCCTCATTTTGTAAACAGATCGCTGTGCAGAAACAAATATTCTCTTCGCCATTCTTTTCGCCGCATGCCAATCACGCAGAAGCCCGTTCTGACCATGGCCTCTATATCACTAGCAAGAAGTCAATCGTGATCTTCCAAGATGGATCCAGTAGCCTGCGCACGCGTGCGAATCTTGAAAAGTCAAAGGCTAATTCAGCGTTTAGACCAGCCGGACCAAAGCACGCATTCATTGGCCGACAGATCAAGGGGCCCGTCCGTCGTGGATGAGCAGGACTGGGTGGCGTCAGGGCGCCTGTCACAAGCACGGACCACGTGTTGTCTGATTCGACTTCAGGTCGAAGGCGTGGTGGAAGGCATTGTTCGTGATTTGATTGCCAAAGTAGGCTTCTGATACGTAGCTTTTTCTTCTCTTTATGGCATGTGGTAGCATGTGGTGAGACGCGGACGGTATTTACTCTGTAGTCGACCGGTCAGAAGCACACGGACATTTGAAGCGCATAGCAAGAGCGTCCACGCGTCATGAGTGCTTCTCTGCCGCTTGCCGTTCGCAAGGCAAGAGGCGATTGCTTCAGTGGTTCGATCAATATTGTGATTGCCTGTCCACTTCCCCAACAGTTGAGCATCCAACTCACAAAGCTTTGGATTCGGTCCCTTGGCGGAACATATCAAAACCATGTCGGCTCGACCACGACCCACATTTGTATCGATCCAAGCCAATACTACTCCTCGAGCCATGATGTCAGGAGGGCGAGGGAGAGGCATATCTTTCTTGTCACTTTGGGCTGGCTACAAGATTCTTACGCCCTTGGCAAGTTCGTGGATAGTTGTGATTACGACCTTGCTGAGTTGTGCGGACATGCCGCCCCGTTGCGTGGGTGTGTGATTGCCTTCACATCCAGCTATCCGCGACCTCGTGGCATTTATGGCTTCAAGCTTGTCGAGGACAATATTGTCAGCTTGGGAGGGCTGTGCGATCAAGATAGTGAGCCTATTCACACCCTGACACACCTTTGCGCGACCGAAGAGGAGATTCGCCATCAGGGCATTTACGTCAGAAATGTCCTTCATCGGGCGAGGAGCGAGGAGGACAAGTCACTGTATCTCGTCAACCACCAGTGGCTTGCGGAATGCCTGCGTCAGGGAAGAAGGTTGGAAGAAGACCTCGATGCCCTGCCGCTGACTTGGTGATGAACATGGTGACTCGCAAAGCAGACGCGGAGAGCGCAAAGCGGAGGGGAAAGCAAGAAGACGGGACGTAAAGACGGGGCAAATTGAGTATGGGAAAGCCACAGCCAGGAAAAAAGAAGAAAAAGAAAAGGTCAGGCCTATCGTCAAGTTAACCATGCCCCTCTGTGCGTGCCACTGCTGTGTGGTCCTACTGGGGCTCCAGTCGAGGAACGGGCGGCCGGATTCACATGCAACCAAGGGTGTCCCTGCATCAGACAACCTTGTGGCAGTATATAACGAGAACTACAACCCGAAGATGGATCTGACGTCCAGATGACGCCCTGTGCGAGGTTGATGAACCAAGCTTGACAACGGGGTCTGATGTCTATCAATTGACCGATTGCCGGTTGCTCTGGGCCGTTACGTGAGGTCGGCTTCAGGACAGAATCACGAATATCTCTCTATAAAAGACGGCTGTCCCCAGCGTAAACCAACTTCCGAATAGAACTTGCTTTTCTACTTCACACCCTCACCAACCTCTGTACTTTCGTCATGCCCCAACCTGTCAGGCTTTCCCATGCCCGGCTCGATCAATCCGACTTTAACGACCATGAACCACGAGCGTGGGTCGGAACCCACTCCGGTTCAAGCAACCTCGTCGACCGAGGGGGCAAAGAACAAAGAGGCAGGTGAAGGATACCAAGGCGTCCTAGCAGCATTAGAAGGTGCACCGACAGCGCCTACCATTGCATTCCAGTCCCCGTTTACCTGCAGAACGTCTCTCCCGGCCCAGGTAGCAACTAGGCACACTCGTGTCTTCAATCCGAGCACTTTCGAATAACCACCAGCCTTTTCGGGTTCCTGGCCAAACGAAAGGGACCTACGGGAGATCGGCGTGGAAGAGACAAACGGAGACTGGCTCGGTCACGAGTCTTCGCTCCCCGCGATGTCTCTTCCTTACGCATGGGAAAGTGTCTCTTACGAAGGAGAGCAGAAGCTGGTTGACGACCGCATCCGCTGCACACTCACCTGCCGGACCTTCAATGGCGTTATGGAGCGCGTTTCCGGCGTACTACCCACCCCTTTGGTTCAACCGGTACAGCAGCAGTTCCTGTTTGGCCAGATCATATACCCATTGTCCTGGGGGCCCTCAAACGCAACCAACCGAGATGCTCGACATCACTCACCAAGCTTCACAGTAGAGGCCCCATTCAATTGCAGGTACGGATATAACATCATGATGGAGAGAATGTCACAATCGGACAGCGATGGTACTTTGGCGATGGCGCACGAGTAACGATCGGCGAGAATTCCATCATTGCACGCGGCGTCAATATCATCACAACAGATGACCCCGTCCAATTCGATAGACGTCTAGGATGTTCACGGGCTAGTTAGGAGCAGACCCGTCACGATCGAGTCGTCCTGCTTCATCGGAGCCGGGGTGTTCATCTGGCCCGGTGTGCGCATCGGTGCGGGAAGCAGCGTCCTACCTGGGACCGTTGCCATATCGGTAGTGTCTCTCCTCGAAGAAATTAAGTCTCTCATTGACTGTCTTCAGGATATCGGGCCCGCAGCTTTGGTTTTCGGAAATCCCCAGCAGTCTGTCGGCTTGCCTTCGCAGGTATCAGAGGCGCCCTGGTAGAGCGGGTGGGTGAACAGACTGAAGAGGTCCTCCGCAGGTGATATCCGCAATTGTTAGGTATAGGGTGGGAATACATCTGGCCCTCCGCAGACAGGAGGGCCCCCCGCAGCTCTAATGTATACGCTTCCGTGATGTCGAACCCCCTAGATTAGCCCCTGAGCCCCCGGTTCCACGTGCTCCGCGGGTGTCTTCTGACAATAATCGAGTTGTGCAAGTTGGCCTTGATGTGCAAGATGCATTTTCAAAGCCATGCTTTGAAGGTCCATGGGACAGTGCCGCCAGGTGGTTGAATTTCGCTGAAACATAACGCTTGACAGTTATGAACAAGTCCCTTCCTCTTCCGCCGAATTCTTTTCTTCCTACGTCAGTATCGGTACTTCTTGGTACAAAAAGCTAGGTCATGTCATAATATCCAAAACTGGACTACTTTGAGTCACTAGTGCTGAAGTTCAAAGTACTTCTTCGTACTTCAAGTAAGTGTACCAGCAGGTCGAGCTCATCCGCGGGCCTCTCATTTCCGTCAATCTTCACGTCAGCGGCGCCACAGAATTGTACCAGCAGAAATGCCAAATTACCGGCGCTATTGTTACGGTCACATGATACAAGTTACAGAAAGGCGTGGAGGGTCAAGAAAGAATGGGCTCTCTTTGACTGGGTTATAGTGCGACAGTCGCCAGCTTGAGCCTATCAATTACTGGAGCAGACCCCTTGCTGTTTTCGATTTGAGTCTAACTTGTTCCGCCTCCACCCATTCGCGAAGCCAGGGATCGACGCGCCTAGATCAAATATCCGACAAGTTCAGCTAGGGGTATCAACTCGAAGTCCTCTAGT